GGGGAGCTGCTGCCGGCCCCGGGCAGGGGCTTCTCCCTCCCCCTTTTGTCCTTTCTCCTGCATCGGAGGTTTCGTTCCGTACAGCTGCTTTCGGTCTGCGCTGGAGAAGAGCCCGAAACAACAACTCTGCTGTCTGTGAGCCTTCCCAAACTCCTGCCTAGCCCCGAGTCACAGATGTGTCCTACCTTTTCAATTCCTTTCCTTTCGGTAGCAGAAAAACATGCAAGAAGCGTTTCAAGCAAAATAATAGGCTGGATAGTCAGGAAAGAGGAAGGAAAATACATCATCAAGGAAATGAAGTTTTTCTGCCCGCGGGGGATGCTGTGAGCAGCTCTGTCCATCTCCTGTCAGAAAGGATCCTGTGGAGTTTCAGGAAACTTGAAGGATATGTTGGGGGCTCTGGAAAAATACAACAAAGAAGTTTTTAAAAGTAGCATTGTATAATGTAGGAGGAAGGATAAGTAAGCTAAATCAAGGTATACACTTTTCCAGATCACTGGTGATTTTTGTATCAGAAGTTTGTCCTTGTTGCTTAGGGAATAGAATAATGATAATAGGGGAAAAACCCAAACTTGCTAAAAGGAAGTAGTTTTCACAGAATGCATAATGAGACCAAAAAAAAAATAGTAAACAGCTCTGAGAACAAGGAAAACTGTAGATCTGTATAAAGGAAGAAAAGAGATGTAAAATTTAAATCCTTTTAAATCCTTAGAGTTTTGGCTAATTTTTAATTTTTAGAACTTAGAATAAGATTTTTATTTTGTTTGTCCTGCATGTGCCTTCCGCAGGATTTACTGCATCTTTCTGCAAAGCACCTACCACAGCCGACGGCTGCTGGAAACAGGGCTAGGTGGGACTAGGGGCTGTGCTGGCGTTTGCTGGCTGTCACCGTGGCTCTTGGGTCTGTTTTCTGGTGATTCTGTCCAGTTTTAGGGACCAGATGGAGCCTGTTTTCATAACTGACACCACTTCCGTGTCTGCCATTATGACATGACTTTTGGAAATCTTCACAATCGGAGCATGTCGCTTCTAAGGTCACGGTGCCCCTAATGGAATGAAACCTTTGGAATTCACATTTTCCAAGGGAGGGAGGAGGAGCAGGTAGGGCAGTGAAACTTGCCTTCCTGCTGCAGGGATGGTCCCTGCAAATTCGAAAAGTAGACAGTATTTTGTGTCAAGCTTTTCCATACATATACACACACATATATAAAGTTATATAGCATATCTATTAATGTTGGGGGGTAAATAATTTTTCAGATACATGTGCATTGTGGTAGTAAATAACCTTTTTTTTAGTGACTGTGTGAAGCATCCCCATTCCCTACTTTGGAGAGCTGGCCCCTTAGTTGCCTTGCAAAGCACAGGATGCCGCATGGGCAAATTTCTGTGTGTTTTGATAGATTTGACAAATTATCTCACAGCAAGCTCCACGACGCCCCTCATGGAGGCTCCAGGTCTGCTTGCCAAATTTGCATTTTGCCCTGATGTTTAGTGTTGTTCCACCCTGCCACCATTTGCTTTCATTGTTTGGTCTTGAGACTTGTAATAACATTTTACAATATATTTTTTCCCCCAAAGATTTTCAGTCTCGATCTTGGAGGTATATCTGCGATTGTCCTGAATGGCTACGATGCAGTGAAAGAATGCCTTGTCCATCAAAGTGAGGTTTTTGCAGACAGACCATCTCTTCCTTTGTTCAAGAAGCTGACAAACATGGGAGGTATGTGATACTGTCTTTAACATAAAAATGTATTTTTTGCTCCATAGATGAGTTTATGGTCACATGAAACATTTGCTTTAGGTATTTGCTTTACTTCCTTATGTCCTTGTGTAAAATACTGAATGTTTCTTTAAAGATATTAAATATTCTTTTTGATTCTGGAAAGAATTGTCACGCTTGGCCTGTGGAAGAGAGTAAAAATGTGTAATTCTTTGCCTCTAAATTTCCCCTCCCTACAAGTTAGTGACAGGTGATGGGCTGCTTTGTCTCTGTCATCATTTAACTTTGAAGCATCTGCTAGTTTCTTTAGATATGATCAGTGAAAGCATCTTCTGAAGTAGCTACACTTACCACCTCCTACTAGAATTCTTCCAGTTGTTCAGTGTCGAGCTTGAGTTTCATTTTGTTTTGCTACTGATTGTTCTTTCTTTGTAGATTTAGTCCTCATGAGGTGCCAGATTTGCTTTCTATAGCCTTCTTAAGAATCCCTGCATTAGATGGGCCTTTAACATACAAAGTCATTTGGATGAGAAATTGTCAGGAACTGGAGAAATTTCAGAGGCTACAACACAAACTAAATTTTAATAGTTTAATAGTTTAGGACTTCCCCATGGCAATTTTTGCTCTTTGTTTTCTATCTTTTAAGCTTGGCTTTATAGCATCTCTGTTGCACTACTTGCTTTACTTTGTGCTATACAGCTTTTAGCTCAAACCCCAAAGTTGCACGTCTCTGCTTGGAATGCGTTTTGTAACGGTTTTCCTTCTTATGCTCAATATTCACTGTCTTTTCTTAAGCTGCTGTATTTATCTACTTTCAACACAGACCGACTCTTAGCAGGGTGCTTCAGGAGCTGCACTCCCTTGAGAGGCGCTTGGTAAAGGCAACCTGCTGCCGCCCCGTCCTGCTGCTCTGGGGCAGGATCCTTGGCCACTGCTCTGCCTTGCAGCTAGTTCTCATGGGTATGAAACGTGTCCCAGCTGATCTGATATTTCTCTATACAAAGGTGCAAATTCTGTTACTCTAGGAAGGTAGGTATGTCAGGAGTAGTATAGAAAAAACCAATTCAACTTCGAGGCAGAGAGGTCATTTATATAATCAATTACCTAGTGCTTCTTCCAGTCATTGTTTATATATCAATTTACAATTTAGAGTGAACTGATGCTTCAAATAATTTTTATCTTGTGGGAGAAAATAAAGAGCTGTATAAAATACCGTGTCAAAATATTTTTTCAGGCTTACTGAACAGTAAATATGGCAGAGGATGGACAGAACACCGCAAATTAGCTGTAAATTCCTTCCGAATTTTTGGATACGATCAAAGGTCCTTTGAACACAAAATCTCAGAAGAAGCTATGTTTTTTCTTGATGCCATTGATACATACAAAGGCAAACCATTTGATCTCAAGCACTTGATAACAAATGCAGTTTCAAATATTACTAACTTGATAATTTTTGGAGAACGTTTTACATATGAAGACACTGAATTCCAGCACATGATTGAGATTTTTAGTGAAAATGTTGAATTAGCTGCTAGTGCTTCTGTATTTTTATATAATGCTTTTCCTTGGATTGGTATCTTGCCATTTGGGAAACACCAGCAGCTGTTTAAAAATGCAGCAGAAGTCTATGACTTTCTTCATAAGCTTATTGAGCGTGTCTCTGAAAATAGGAAGCCTCAGTCACCTCGACATTTTGTAGATGCGTATTTAGATGAGATGGATTGCAATGAAAATGATCCAGAATCTACATATTCAAGAGAAAACTTAATTTTCTCTGTTGGAGAACTCATCATAGCTGGGACAGAAACCACCACAAATGTTTTAAGATGGGCAGTGTTATTTATGGCTCTGTATCCAAATATTCAAGGTAAGATTTTGGAGATTCTGAGGAAGTGATACACATTCCTTCTGCAATTTTAAAATGTTTTATCAAAGTAGTTGAAGTTGAAATTTGAAGTGCTATCCATAGCCCTAACCAAAAAAGGTTTGTACATATTACCGCATTTAGATTATTTTCTAAATATATTATGGGCATATGTGCAGTAAGTGCCATAATTAGTCAAAACATATACACATATTTCAGTTTAAGAATGCATGATTCTATGCTGTAAAATTCTAAGGAATCATGGCAGAATTGAACAAGGGAATGTTTAAGTGACTCATTTCAGAATTATCTATGTCCACTTGCATATTTGATGTACTTTGTCTTTGCAGTCTCTTGTTTGTTCCCTTAGTTTTGAAGAGCTCAAGAAATAAAAATGCACTGAGCAAAGAAAAGCATATTAAGGCACATCATATCAAAAGTAGTTACATGTGAAATAAAGATTACTAGTGTATATGCTAGTAGGAATTCCTAGTAGCAGGATGAGGAAAACAGATTCTGAATTTAAGAGCTTATAAAGTACTATATTGTTGTATAAGTCATTTTATGTTCCAGCATTCTTTTAAAAGAATATATTCTATGTACTTTATCTTTTTATTCAAGCTACTACACAATGAACAAAAAGGTGGGGCTTTTTTTTTCCCTTTTTCCAAACAGGACAAGTTCAAAAAGAAATTGATTTAGTCATTGGCCCAAACAAAATGCCTACCCTGGAAGAGAAATGCCAAATGCCGTACACCGAGGCAGTTCTGCATGAGGTTCTGAGGTTCTGCAATATTGTTCCACTGGGGATTTTTCATGCAACTTCTAAAGATACTGTTGTGCGGGGTTATTCTATTCCCGAGGGCACTACAGTCATTACAAACCTCTACTCTGTTCACTTTGATGAAAAATACTGGAGCAACCCGGAAGTGTTTTCTCCTGAGCGGTTTTTGGACAGCAGTGGGCAGTTTATCAAGAAAGAGGCGTTTGTTCCTTTTTCACTAGGTAAGAGTGATTTCTCTCATTCTCCCTTTTGAGATGTACAATATGCAAGTGATGGTAATAAATCAGGAATGGGCAACATGATGTAGAATATCCACAGTTCTGGTGAAATAGATATTTCAAAATCATATTCAATATTAAAGCTTATTATTTTTTATATAGATGACCAGAAGTAATAAAGACAATACTATCTTTTTATCTGAGCGTTCTATACATTTCATATTACTGTGGTAAATAAGTGGTCTTGTTTTGCAATTAATGTGCATAGTCCTTTGCTGCCGAGGTTGTTACGCAGGGGCAGTGAACGCAACCACCTTTCACATTTCGGCATTTGGACCAGCACCAGAAACTGCAGGTATTATGCAGAACTTGTCGGGGAGTCCATATGCATCGCTGCCTTGTCTTGAGGAAGTATTCTGAGGCTCCTACATCATCTTTGTGGCCTTGTCTTTTGATGCCTATGAAAGGGGACAACTTGTTTCACATATCTTTAGTCACCTAATAATTAGGCTTTGGGCTACCCCTGCAATCAGTGAAAAGACACTGCTTTGTCTATAGGATGACTTAGTTCACCTATCAGGGATATTCTTTCTTCAAAAATTTTAAGAGCAGCCAAAGCAATTCCCTTACACCTTCCAAAAGGCCTGAGTGGGAGGTGATAGATTCCTTGTATTTTAGTGAGGTGCCTTTTACTTTTTCTGTTCCAGATAGTTATCCTCCATTAATCTGTTTTTTTTTTTTTCCACAAATAACCTTTACCTTCTGCAACTAGTCACAGCTGAAAAGGGAGGTAACATTTCAAGGCATTATCCAGACCTGCTTCTGCTCCTTTTACTTACTGTTATATCAAGTAATAGTGATTGACCACAGCTGTAGTTAAGAAAACAGTAGGATAACAAAGGCTGAGATTCGGTATCATTTGTGTAAAACATTCTCTCTCCAGTGTGGCTCTTCAAGATGGGATAAAATGGCTAATGAATTATCTAAATACATTTCACAGGATTAGTTTCAATAGCTAGTAGTGAAAATTTCTAAAACACTTTTCTCACCACAAATTGTCATCTCTCCTTTCCTACCAAGGAATACCAGCATCAAATTCAGGGAGTTCCTCTTAGAACCAGAAATTACTATTTTCATTCATTATATGAGTGAAAATAATTAAGTATTTTTAAAACCATCTTTTCATTTTTTTTCCCCTTTTTTCAATCCAGGAAGACGCCACTGTCTCGGAGAGCAGCTAGCCCGGATGGAAATGTTCTTGTTTTTCACTTCCTTACTGCAGCGGTTTCACCTGCGTTTTCCTCAGGGTTTGGTTCCCGACCTGAAGCCGCGGCTGGGCATGACCTTGCAGCCCCAGCCCTACCTGGTCTGTGCCGAGAGGCGCTGAGGAGCCTCCAGGGCCTGTCTTGTCAGAAGAGCAGGATTCCCAAGGACTTCCGTCGATTTGTGCATAAGTTTCATGGTTTGTATTTATTTGGTTTTCACAAACACACACATACACTTCAACCAGAAATGTAAAATGTGTCCTGTACTTAATGTTTTCACTCTGTCTCTCTATTTTGAATTTAACTTCTGATTCTGATTTTAAACATGTAATTACTTAGCAAGCCATTTTTACTTTGGATGCATATTTTTATAAATAGGGAGAATATGACAATTTTTATACTTCTTATACTTGCCTCATCTGTGAAAAAACATATATTATTCAGGTTTTTTACATTAAATGTATATAGCAAAAAGATATTAAAGAGACCTATTTAAAATTCTGTGATTAAGAATTATCCAATTGTATCTTTTCCAGTCTTGACAAATGAATTGCAAGTCTAACATTTTAATCCTTCCTCTGCCTTGCCCCATCTTCCCCCATGGTCTTCATTTTCTCCATTTTTCTTTCCCCGTCAGTCTTCCGTTTTTTTCAACGTACCAGTTCATTTTCTTTCTTACAAGTTCAGTCCAACTTGGCAGTTTTCACCCTCCCCTTGGTCATTCTGATTCTCAGCAGCAGCTCGTGCGCTCCCTGCCCAGGGAGGGCAGCGGGACCTCAGCACGTGGCTCGGAGCAAAAGCCCCGCTCAGCAAACAGTTACTTAAGGCCAGGGCCAGAGATCAGGCCTTGCTCTTTACACAGTCTGTGCTTAGACTGGGAGCTGCAAAGAAAAAATATCCAAGCACTCGGGGCCCGGAGCCTTTTTCTGAAGGCAGAAATGTGACACTGAGCAGAAATACTTCTTTTGTTTTGGAAGAGCAGAAAAGGAGGATCAAACGCAGCCAATTCCATCCCACTTCTCTAACAGCCTACTGGGAAACCCTGCTGCAGCTCCACTGTAAACTCCCTCCTTGTAAGCTTAGATTGCACAGCCTGAACTTTGTAGGTATCCAGGTTTTCCACCTGGGTAACAAGAACTCTGTGGTATCCTTTAGTTAAAACATGCTTGAAATAAATCTTAATTAAAGGAAAGAGAGAAAAATACAGAAAAAGTCAAGAACCAGTTTTCATAGGGCTACACGCAAAAATACCTGACTGGTGATAATTCCGTTTTGCTGATGTATAGGGAAACATAACTCTTCCCGATCTTTAATTCTTCTAATGAGAACTATATTGATTATATGTCATTCTGGTTTCTAAATCAAAATGCCTTGTAAAAGCGTTAGCACATCAATCCAAACTTGTGCTATCACGTGCCAACTTAAGGCCTCATGAAGCCAGCAGATAAACTTGACAAGCTGTCTTTTCCATGAACCTGTATCAACCCAAGTTGCATTATACACATTCGTTTTGCCAGTTTTCCTCATTATTTTTCCGAAGGTGTGAGTGACTTCAGATTATCCTAATGATCCCTTTGACGTATGGGCGTATTAGCTTTTTCCAGCACTCTGGGGTTTCTCCATGAGATCAGGCTGTATTGGCGCAGTGGTAGCCTGGAGCTAGCATCAGCCAGGCAGCGCTTCCCAAGTTCCTGGTGAAAGTCGTTCCTGATCCGAAATATCTGGCATAACTGGCTGCTCTCGAGCATCGCTTTGTGATTAAAGCATTCACTGTGTGAAGAAATTCACTGGACTGGAATTATGCCCAAATACAGAACAAGGCCGCATTGAACAGTTCATATTTTCAGCATTTTTGCCAGCAATATTGAATTCTAAAAATTCCTGCGATACCCATTATGTACGGATTACTATCATTGAAAAGGGGAGATTTGTGTTGTATTTTTGTTTGTTGTTTTCATAAGAAGCTTAAATGTTCATGTTTTAAGAACTTGAAATTAAGTTGGAACCCCGTCCCCCTTTTTTTTCCTCCTCCTTTTCTTTTCACCCTTCTACACACCCATCTTCAGAGCCACTAGATGTTGGAGGGTTCGTCGTTGTTTTTTGAGCTGGGTCTCAGGATTCAAATACTTACCAAGATCAAATCAAACTTTTGCTCTAGAAATACCCCTCTGACCTTCACGCAACACAAGCTGACAATCAGCAGCTTCTTTCATTTCTAGATCCCTGAGGTATTTTTGAAGGCAGGTCAGCTTCCTTGACGCCGACCGCATTACCGTAGGGCAGGACACACGCGGAGCGGTCACTTTTGGGAAAGCTGCCAGGCTCCCGGAGACATTAGGCTTGTGACATTATTCTGAGCCTTCCAAATAGATTAAATCCATTAAAATAATGGATCGAATCAGGGATGTGCAATCTAATCCAATAGTTTGGAATGGCCGCAGCAAAGCAGGTGGCTGCTTGCCCAGAATTTTGCGCGCAAAATATAACAGCCCATAGTAGAAAACAGAATAAACTTACTGCTTATTCCCTTGCTGTTTTCAAACATAGGCTTCCCTTGAGTGGGCTGGTAATAAAAATCTTTAAATAAGGTAGGGGTCTCATCATCCTCTAAATTATTGGAGGGTTTGCAGTGTTCAGCCTGCATCTCCCTTCCTGCAATCTCCATCTGCTTCCTCTTGTTTCACCCACTCTGGACACTGGAAACGTTGAGTATTTCGCGTAAGTATTTATAGCTTTAGCACATCCCACTTAAGTCTCATGTTCTCTAGAGTCAAAGAAATCCCCTTGAATTAATTTAATCTTTCTCCTTGTCTCTAGGCCACATCTCCTGCATTTCCAATCAGTCTCACTGCCTCGTACAGGGATTCTGCCATCCCACTGGCAGATATTTTTCCTGGGGTGTAACATCTGAAACTAGGAACTGCTTTGCTTTACGCTGACTTTATTTATGCTGCTTTATTTGTGCTGACTAATAACAATGTGATTACAGACTCATTCTCAAAAACAGGTAAGACGGCTCCTTAGCTGGCTTATCTGATAGGGAGGAAGCTGAGTTAATGTACACATCAGATCGACGTGTAGAGATGAGTCAATGCCAGCAAGATCAATGTCACGATAAAACAAAGCGCAACAGACCAGGTCCGTTTCAATGAGCAAGTTTTCATGTCTGGCTGGCAGGGCTGACACACAAGCCAGAAAGCAATCTGCATTACGCAAGGAGAAGGTCAGGTCAAGCTCACCTTTTCTGATTTTTGGTATAATACGATGCAAATTAAGTCAAACATTATAGTCTTTGTTTTATAAAGTAAAACTGGTAGACTTTGATCTCATCCAAGTGCAAAGGATTTTGCTGATCTGGAGAGATGACTCAGAAGTGAATCATTACCTGTTTTTTGGCAATATCTTTGGGACATGGACAAGCCACAAGGTGAATAGTAGGGATCATTCGAAACACTACACCATCGTACCGTTACTTAAAGGCTCTATAGGTTTAATGTTACACATTTCTCCCTCAGTAAAACCTCTTAGGAAAGAAAGCAAGCCGGACAGGAGATTGCTGCTCTTTACAAGCTTTTCCTCTCCTCACTCCAGTT